TTTATTTACTTTTGAGACAGAGAGAGGGAGACACAGAATCTGAAACAGGCTCCAGGCTCTGAGCTGTCAGCACGGAGCCCGACGCGGAGCTCGAACTCATGGACCGCGAAATCATGACCTAAGCCGAAGTCGGCCGCTTAACCGACTGAGCCACCCAGGCGCCCCTAAAGAACTTTACTTTTAAGCCAGGCTCAATGATAGCCATCCTCTATTCGTCTGGGACAAGAAATGTATACTCAAAATTAAAAACAAACACACACACACACACACATATATCTATATATATATGCGTATATGTATATATATCCATTTTCTTCCCTTTGTTACCTCCAGTTACCTCTGAGAAATCTGTTTGCTTGAGAAAATGAAAAATAGCATTCGTTGGGCTTTTGTAAAGTAACTTTTCTTCTTTAGAAGTCAAAATTTCAGAGGCATCTAGGTTCAAGCGTCCCAACTCTTGATTTCAGCTCAGGTCATGACCCCAAGGTCATGGGATTCAGCCCTGCGTTAAGCTCTACACTGTGTGGGGAGCCTGCTTGAGATTCTCTCCCTCTGACCCTCCACTGCTCACACGCACGCTCTCTCTTTCTAGAATAAAATTTAAAAAAATAAAAAAGAAGGCAAACTTTCAGTGCCCTTTACTTTCCTAAACATAGTTATAAACCAGGAGTAAAGCTAAAAGACTGGGGCACCTGGGTGGCTCAGTCAGATAAGCATCCGACTCTTGGTTTCAGCTCAGGTCATGATCTCACAGTTCATGGGCTCTATGCTGACAGTGTGCTACCTGCTTGGGATTCTCTGTCTCCCTCTCTCTCTGCCCCTCCCCTGCACTCTCTCTCTGTCTCTCAAAAATAAAATTTAAAAAAACTTAAAAAATGATACCTCTGACCAATATTGTACACTTGTTTTAAAATGCTAGGTAGATGGGTGCCTGGCTGGCTCAGTCAGAAGAGTGTGAGTCATGATCTTGATCTTGATCTTGGGGTCGCAAGTTCAACCCCATGTTGGATATAGGAATTACTTAAATAAGTAAACTTAAAAAAATAAAATGCTAGGTAGATCCTCTGGGGAAATCATGGAGTCTCCCTCAGGTCCTCATCTAAATAATTATGTGTAAAACAAACCTCTGTGTGACCTAATTTAAATATATTTAGATTTTAAATAAAGGTTAGTTTATTTTTAGTCCTTATCTGCTTGGATATTTTATATCATTTTATAGAATGGTTTTATGTTAATTGATGATAATCATTTAATATGATACTCCTATAAGACATCTCTGATCATTTTGCTATGCCAAAACAATTAATGTTGGGTAACTTGTATGTATCTTACAAGCATTCAGCCAGTCAGACAATGCATTCTAACGGGGTTATGTGATTGGTATGCATTGAGCGTTGTCTCTTCTCTTTTCCAGTCACCCCATACTATGTTCCTCCTCTTGCACACTTTGACTTGGAAACTTTAGATGTAACACCTATTACTGCTGCTGCTATTTCAGCAAAAATCAGAAAACAAGGAAAGATAGGTATGTTCTCTCCTTCTTATTCTGTATCTCCATAGGAGCCATAATGAATTAACCTAAGAGGTCATATGCACCGAGGCATCATTAACTGGAGAGATGAGGTCATTGAATCTTTAATTGGCATGGTTATAAAATGAACTATAATACAGGGTTATGAGATTACCTCCTCTACCCCTAGATAGTCTTCAGCAAGTTGTTTCCTAAAGGCATGATATTTAGCAAACATGATTATTGATTACTTGAGTCACTTTTCTCTTCTTGAAACAAAAGGAGGAAGGAAACGGAAAGCAGATGGCAGCAAAACATCTTCCTCTGACACACTTTCAAAGGAGGATAGTTCAGAGTGTGTCCCTACACCATCTGATAGAAGCCAGCTGGAAAAGGTACTGGAATGATGGGTATCCATGAAGGTGTGTGACAACCCAGTAAGATTAACAAAAGACCAGCATTATTCTCTGCATTTTACAGAGAGAAATATTAGGGAAAGGAGAGGCAAACGAACTCTCCTAGGCTTTGGGGTGATCCAGTAGCAGAGTTAGGGTTAGACTCTGAGTCTTTATCACTACCACACAGTGTTTTCTAGTTATTTTCTTGAATGTGTCACTCCGTGTTTTATACCCCAGCAGTACTTTTAATTCCCTTTTGTGGCATTTATCAAATTCTGTTTTAGGATATGGTTTTAGATGTACTGCTTTTAGCCTCTTCCCCACTCTGATCTGAGATTATCAGCTTCTCAATGAATTGAGATAACATGAAATGCTTAGGACAGTTTCTAATAGTTAATAAATAGTAGTTCTTTTTTCCTATAACTTTACCAATCACAGAGTAGGTTATATGTTTATGAAATTGCCTAAACCACATCGATTCCAATTATTTCTGTTTTTTTTCTGTTTATTGAGTATTTATTATGGATAGCTCCTATAATCCTCTAAAAACCCAAGATTAGTAGTAGTATCTACATTTAATAGGTAAGGAAACTAAGACCCAGAGAGAGTAAGTGACTTGTCCAAATTCACACAGTTAATAAGTGGTTGAGCAAGGATTTGAAGGCAGACCTGTCTGGTGCCGAAGCTCATCATTTTCTGTACCATGCCATGACATCTTGGTTTGTCTAGTAGTTCATACCCAAGTAGAAACCAACAAAGGGTCTTAATAGGTGACCCCTATCCCAGTCTTAAATTAGGTGCTTTTGTCTTAGGAATATTTAGGGACTTTGGTGAAAGGAGAATGGTGATATGCTGAAAAAGTAACTTTTGCACAAAATGAATGCATAATTGCATTTTGAAGTCCTCATGAAAAATCAGGTTAATATAGAAGCTTTATTTATTCTGTTGGTTTGCTGCTACTTTTTCCCCAGGAGTTCAAAGGGAAGGAAGAAGAGCCATCAGTGTCACTACAGAATTACCGTTTTTTTTTCCGAGAACTGGACATTGAGGTCTTCTCTATCCTGCATTGTGGGCTTGTGACCAAGTTCATCTTTGATACTGAAATGCACACTGAAGTAAGTGACAGAGCTGAAATCCTAGAATTTAATCTTCTTTCAGAAAATTTCTCATCTCTACTCTTATTTTATTTTATTTATTTATTTTTTTTTAATTTTTTTTAACGTTTATTTATTCTTGAGACAGAGAGAGACAGAGCATGAACGGGGGAGGGGCAGAGAGAGAGGGAGACACAGAATCGGAAGCAGGCTCCAGGCTCTGAGCCATCAGCCCCAGAGCCTGACGTGGGGCTCGAACTCACAGACCGCGAGATTGTGACCCAGGCTGAAGTCGGACGCTCAACCGACTGAGCCACCCAGGCGCCCCATCTACTCTTATTTTAATAAGAGTACTATGCACTGAGAGAAGTTAGACTCTGGCTTCCAGAGGTTTTATATGTAGTGAAAGTAATTTCGAATAATCATCCTCATAATTTTTTTTAAGGTAAACAATTTTATTTATTTTAATTTTTTTAAATGTTTATGTATTTTTGAAAGAGAGAGACAGAGCATGAGTGGGGAAGGAGCAGAGAGAGAGTGGGAGACACAGAATCTGAAGCAGACTCCAGGCCCTGAGCTGTCTGCAGAAAGCCCGACGTGGGGCTCAAACTCATGAACCGTGAGATCATGACCTGAGCTGGTCGGACGCTTAACTGACTGAGCCACC